GGGGGGGCGTCGGGGGCTCTGGGGCGCATGCGCGAGCGCGGCGTGGCCCTGGACAGTCCCTCTGTACTCCGCCAAGCTAGCCTGGTTCTGGAAGCAGAACCCCGTAAGTAGGAAGAGGGTTAGAAAGTCATGCCTCCGAGCTGGGGTGACATTATAGGAGTAAAGTCATGCCTCCGAGCTGGGGTGACATCATAGGAGTAAAGTCATTCCTCCGAGCTGGAATGACGTGAGAATTGTGGCGTACGAGTGTGGGAGTCCGTTTTCTACATCACGCGGGTTGTGTTGTGCTAGGATCGAGCTCGAGTTGTCAGCTTGGCCGCAAGCACCTCCGCCCCTGGAGCCAGCTGGCCGGGCCCCATACGATGCCTTATATGAGAAATAAAATTAGGGCCTGGGTTTAAAAGCACTGCCTGCTTTTGCGGAGGACCCGGGTTCGATTCCCAGCACCCACATGGCGGCTAGGGATCCGACGCCCTCTTCTGACGTCGGTGCACTTAAATACGACACGAGTGCACTTACATACATGCGGGCAATACACTCACTGACATAAAATAAGTATAATAAATAAAATATTTCTTTTTTTTTTTGGTGTTTTTGAGACGGTCTCCCTGTAGCCCTAGCTGTCCTGTAACTCACTGTGTAGACCAGGCTGGCCTTGAACTCACAGAGATCCGCCTGCCTCTGCCTTTCGAGTGCTGGGACTACAGGCGTGCCCCAGCATGCCCAGCTTCATAAAAAAGAAATAAAACAAGCCAGGTGGTCCTTTGGGTTGGGGGGCGGGGAGAACCAGCCTACTTACCCATTCAGGTGTTCAGTGGGGGAGACCTGACAGTCCCAGGATCCCAGGGCAGCGGCCACTGGAGGGCCCCAGAGGACAAGCAAGGCGGGAGCTCTTGTGTGCCTAAGATATCCTGGAGTGGGGGTCGTTGCCCTGTGGGAGCCACGGCAGACTAGGCTGATGTGGTTTCAGAGCTGTGACGTCATAGGAGTAACGTCATGCTTCCTATGGGGGTGGGGGTTAGGGTCAGCCCATTCTCCAGTTTGAGAGTGAATGGGGTTCATAGTTGGGGCCAACTGTGTGTCCTGCGGGCAAGAGGGAAGTCAGGTACTTCTGAGGTGGTTGGTACGGGAGCTCCCATGTACAGGGTAGGGGGACACTGGGGTGAGAGGGGCAGTTGGAGGAGCTGGGCTCAGGTGTGAGAGTGCTGTTGAGGGGCCATCAAAGGGGAAGTTGGTTGGAGCAACCCCAGGACACCTGGATCCACACATAAAGTTTTCCAGCTGATTGGAAACTGAGGTAGGAGGATGGCAAGTTCAAGACTGCCTGGGTGGCTTAGAGCCTATCAGGGCGAAAAGTAAAAAGTGGGTTGGCATAGCATGGCTTATCAGTAGAGCCCCTGCCTAGACTCCCCCAGTCTGGGGCTGGGGTGTGGCTCAGCAATAGAGCCCCTGCCTAGGATCCCCAGTGAGGGGCTGGGGTGTGGCTCAGTGGTAGAGCCCCTGCCTAGGATCCCCCAGTGAGGGGCTGGGGTGTGGCTCAGTGGTAGAGCCCCTGCCTGGAGGCTCTGGGTTCTATTCCTGGTCCCACAAATAAAGCTGTCATGTGAGTGGTCAGGGGTAGGCACTATGGAGCACTGGCTTTCCTCAAGGGTAAGAGCTGAGCTGTCTTGGGCCAGACCGTCCACTCCTTCCAGTGCTCCCAGCTGATACTGTAGAAAACTGGTGGGGTCCAGCAGCACAGTGGGGAGATGGGTGCACAGAAGGACTAAGCTCTGGTCCAGGCTGTGGGGGTGGCAGGACTTTAAGCCTCTGATGTGGTAGAGGGACAGAGGTCCCAAGACTTAAAGGAGATGCCCAGCATATAGGTTAGCTGCTGGGGGCACGGCGGGGGTGTCGGATGGCGTCATTACTGCAGAATGGGGGTGTTCTGTCAGGATGGCAGTTGACTGATGGTCACACAGCTCTGTTAGAAACCACACTTTTTTCTGGGGTTGGAGCCCAGAGCCTTTGTTGGGCAGGTGCTCTGTGTGAGCTCCGTCCCCAGCACTCTGTACTTTCTATTCTCAGACAGTCCTCTGCTCTGGATGGCCTTGAACTTGCTCTGTTGTCCTCCCTGTGCCACGCTTCTGCCTCAGCTTTCTGAATAATTGGCATTATAGATGGCACCAGGCCAGTGTGGACCTGCTGAAGTCGGGTGGTGTGTAGTGAGAGCACGAGAAACCAGTAAAGCCGTCACATACTATCACCCTGTTCCTGGGAAGCCAGAGTCGCCACTGCCCAGCTCTTCCCAGGGGGGTGCACTCACTGATAGCTAGTGTTTCTGTTGCAGCCCCCCTTCCCCGGTAGGGTGGCACTTTCTGTGCACAGCATGTCCTGTGGTGTCCCAGATGGTCAGTGTGACCAGTGGCGTTATTTGAACAAGCAGGCACAGCTGTTCTTGGCTGAACTGCTTGCTGGCCTGAGACCTCACCTCTGTATGCATCAGGAACGGGGTTCCACGTGTGCAAGTACAGTGTTTGACTGCCAGGGTAGCACAGGACAGTGCGGGCTGTTCCCAAGCACACAGCCCGTACTCACGTCTGCCTACCTGTTCCCTCGAGTCTATAACCGAGCTCTGTTTTTGAGGTGCTGAGTATTGAACCCTGAGCCTGGCACATTTTCTGAGCCACCTCCTCACCTCTTTTTGTCTGGACTTATCTGTAGCCTGGTTGTCCTTGAACTCCTGATCCTCCTGCCTCAGCCTCTCTAGTAGCTGAGAGACTAAACATGTTCTTAGGCCTCTTTGTTTTTTTTTAAAATTATAAATCATCAGTGGGGGCCCTGCATACACACCTTGCTTTACCTAGTAGACAAAGCCTCTTTGAGACCATTCATATCAGCACATGCTTCCTCATTCTTTTATACAGCTGCATAGTACTCCAGTGAATGGTAGAACGGACGCTGTTGGAACTGTCCCCCTGGGGAGGACATTTAGGTGGTTTCCAGTCTTTAGGGATTTCAAACAATGGTGCCGGAAATAACCTCATAAAAGCAGGTTTTTCATGTGCCCCAACCTGTTGGGGTCGCCTCCTGAGTGTGGGATTGCAGCTTCAGCTTCTGAGTTTTTAATTTAATTTTTCCTTTTCTTTTTTTGAGACAAGGTCTCCCTGTAGCCCCAGCTGGTGAGTGCCACCACACCTGGCCATTTCTTTTAAGTGTGTGTTAGCATGTGTTACCCTCTCTAGTCCCCCTCCTACTTCTGCAGCCATGCTGTTCCTGGTGCTCTTCCCCACTGGTCCCCTTGCTCTGTGTGTGCGTGTGTGTGTGTGTGTGTGTGTGTGTGTGTGTGTGTGTATTTGTGTGTGTGTGGTGTGCGCGCCACAGGGTCTCATTAGGGTTTCTATGGGATGGTGGGTGAGGGGTGATTTACAAGAGCTTGTTGGATGTTCAGTGACTGTGCCGCCCTCAGGGATTTTTAAAGTCTTTTTTTTTTTTTTTTTTTTTTTTTTTTGACAGTCTCCCTGTAGCCCCAGCTGTCCTGCTGGAACTCACTATGTAGACCAGGCTGGCCTTGAACTCACAGAGATCCGCCTGCCTCTGCCTCCGAGTGCTGGGACTAAAGGCATGCACCACCACTCCCGGCTCTTTCTTTGTACTTTTTATTTTGAAAAACTTTCTCACTAAGTTGCTCAGACTGGCCTTGAATTTGTTATCCTCCTGCCTCAGTGTTCCAGAGTTGCTAGAGGTACAGTCCTGCACCACCAGGCCCCGTTTTTCTTTTCTTTCTTTTTTTTTTTTAATATTCTTTTTTATTATTTTTATTTTATGTGTATGAGTGTATTGCCTGCATGTAAGTGAGTGCACCCGGGTCGTGCAGTGCCATGGAGGTCAGAAGAGGGCTTTGGATTCCCCTGGACCTGGAGTTAAGGATGGTTTGCAGCTGCCATGTGGTTGCTGGGAATTGAACCCGGGTCCTCTGCAAGAGCAGTCAGTGCTCTTAACTTCTGAGCCATCTCTCCAGCCTCGTGGCCCAGTTTTTCTAAGTTTCTTTCAGGCTTCAGCTAGGCCCCAGCCTAATCCAGGCAGATTCTCATCACAGTCCAGAGGTTGCTGAGCCCTGGGGTTGTCTTACCCTGGCCAGGCAGCTCCTGGCACCACATCCACAACCCTCCTTGGAGCAGTAAGGTGGGGAGGACACCTGCCTTATAGACAGGCTAGCCAGGGCTGGATCACATGGCCTCTCCCTGCCGAGCACTGTTGACAGTGGAGTCTTCTCTCTGGATGTTTGGTGGTCATTATGGTCAGGAAGTACTTATTTGACCCTGGTTAGTTCCCTGGCCACTGGGGACCATGTATTTTTAAATCTCTCTCCTTTTTATAGCAGTCACCATAAGGTGATAGGATGTGCGCTCACCAGCCATCCACCTGGCGCGCCTTGTCCTCTTCTCTTTGCAGGGCCTTTTGAGGCTGCCTTTGGGTTGCTTTCTGAGTAGTTGAAGTGCTGTGTCATAGTTCTCCTGTGTGTCTCCCCCATCTCACAGAGGACATGAGCTCATAACTGCGAAGGTCGCCTGGTGTTGGCTCTCTCATAGTGCCTGACACGTGTTGTGCAGGAGGAGAGGCTGATGTAGCTCGGAGTCCTTGCTCCTGGCTTGAAGGTCCTGGGTCTGGTTGCCGCCTGGCCACAGGTTGAGAGCAGCCCTTCCCCTTGCTTTGCCTGACCTGAGAAGCAGTTTGCATTACCTCCTCTGGTTCTGTACCTGTGGGGAGGCGATCACAGCAGGAGCAGAGGCAGAGCAGAGCTGCTGGACGCACAGAGGGGTGGGCTGAGAACAGGACAGCCCCTCAGAGGCCTTGAGACCTCCAGCCAGCGCCACTTCTGGATGGAGCGACATGCCATCAATTTCTGAACCTGGGGCAGAGGAGATGGCTGTGTGTGTCCAGGGTCTGCTATGTGATCCTGAGGACTGAGTTCCCTCCCCAGCCATTCAAGACCCGGAGAGGTGGTGCCTGTGATCCTGGCCCTGGGCAGGCAGAAGCCCCAGATCCCTGAGGCTCACTGGCCAGCCCAGGCTGCTTAGCAAAGTCCAGGCTAGTAAGAAAAAAGCTGGGGCTGGAGAGGTGGCTCAGCAGTTAGAGCACTGGCTGTGGGGCCGGAGAGATGGCTCAGTGGTTAGAGCTCTGACTGGCAGAGGACCTGGGTTCAATTTCCAGCTAACCATCAGCTGTAACTCAGTTTGAGGGGATCTGACGCCCTCTTCTGACCTCTGTGGGCATTGCACAACATGGGCGCACTTACACACATGCAGGCAATACACTCTACACGTAAAATAAAAATAATACTTAAAAGAAAAAAGCTGGGCAGTGCCTGAGGGATGGCACCCAAGGTTGACCTCTGATCCCACATGCATACATGTGCACATAAACTGAGATTCATTCAGTGGAGAGGGTAGCACTCTCCTGGCCCATTCATATCAGTGCCACCAGCTGACTGGTGACCTTGGGGGGGGGGGCTCATAGCAGACTAACTGACGGTGTAGGAGGTGTGGGAATGTACAGGAGGGGGTACGTGCATGCACATGTATGTGCAGCTGGCCACTGTGGGGTCTGGGAGCAGGGACAGGGTCCTGTGAGTGTGGTGACTGCAGGGTGTACAGCCTTCGGGTTTGGTCCTGGTGGAGGCCTGGGCTGGTTCAGGTTTGGGATCAGGTGCTTGTGTCAGGCTGGTTTTTTGACCCTGCCCAGGCCCGAATGTACAGGAGGGGGTACGTGCATGCACATGTATGTGCAGCTGGCCACTGTGGGGTCTGGGAGCAGGGACAGGGTCCTGTGAGTGTGGTGACTGCAGGGTGTACAGCCTTCGGGTTTGGTCCTGGTGGAGGCCTGGGCTGGTTCAGGTTTGGGATCAGGTGCTTGTGTCAGGCTGGTTTTTTGACCCTGCCCAGGCCCCAACATAGCATCTGGCCTGGGGCAGCAGGTGGGGTGGGCAGCCTAGGGCAGGAGGCTGAGGGGCGACGAGGGCTGCCAGCTGGGGGCTGGAGCCCGTGAGGTGAGGGAGGAGCAATGGTGGGTGAAGAAGGCCGAGAACGGGTCCATTGTGTGTGCAATGCCCAGGCTGCCGGACCTGCAGGTAGAGGAGGGGCAAGGCTGGGGGATCCGCTCTGCTCAGGCCATGCTGAGCCAGCACTTGCCCACAGGATGGATTTTAAGCGGCGACAGAGCCAGGGTTCTGGGGTGCCCCCGAAGCGGGTCCGAGGGGGCCTCTGGGATGAGGATGAGCCATCCCAGTTCGAGGAGGACCTGGCTCTGCTGGAGGAGATGGAGGCTGAGAACCCGCTGCAGGAGGAGGAGGAGCTGCAGCCAATCCCGGAGGGCCCTTTGGATGGTAGGTCCCCACTGCCCCAGCACACCTCTCTGACCACAGCAGCACAGTGCTGTTGAGAGATGCCTGGGCTCCCCCGAAGGGATTCTTGGACGCCACAGTGTTCCCTGGGTGGCTGCTTTTTAAAATTCTGTTTGAGCTGGGGTCTTGCTGTTGCCTGGGGTGGTCTCAAGTTCCTGGATTGGATTAGTCCTCCTGGCCCAGCTCCCAAGTGTCTGGGCTGTTATACTCCCTTCATCCTGGGACTTTCTGGCCACCCACCAAGACCCCCACCTCCTCCTGGCTTTCCTCTGTCGGCTGCGGGCAGTCATCTGTCTGAAGGGCCCATGGAACCCCATGTCCCCATCCAGGACAGTTCTCCACAGCAGGCATTGACCCTCGCTGGTTGCGCCCTCCTTTGCCCACCCTGAACCCCCAGATGGAGCCCCTCATCTTCCAGCAGCTGGAGATTGACCACTACGTGGGTGAGTTGGCAGGGGAGGCATGGGGCCATGTCAATGTCTGAACTGAGAGCAGGTGGGAGCTAGACTCAGGATGCTGCACGCTGGCCAGCAGGTCAAGGCACTTGATGCCAAGCCTGAGTTCAGCCCTCAGAACCACATGGTGGAAGGAGAGAGCTCCTTCTGACTTCCACATGCACTGTGGCACAGCTGTGCCCCCATACATACACACCCTAAGTAAGCAACCAGTACGTAAGAAATACAGAGTATTACACTGTGAGGGCCGGGGTGTGGCTCAGTGGTAGAGCCCCTGCCTAGATCCCCCAGTGAGGGGCTGGGGTGTGGCTCAGTGGTAGAGCCCCTGCCTAGAATCCCCCAGTGAGGGACTGGGGTGTGGCTCAGTGGTAGAGCCCCTGCTTAGGATTCCCCAGTGAGGGGCTGGGGTGTGGCTCAGTGGTGGAGCCCCTGCTTAGGATCCCCCAGTGAGGGGCTGGGGTGTGGCTCAGTGGTAGAACCCCTGCCTAGGATCCCCCAGTGAGGGGCTGGGGTGTGGCTCAACAGTAGAACCCCTGCCTAGGATCCCCCAGTGAGGGGCTGGGGTGTGGCTCAACAGTAGAGCCCCTGCCTAGGATCCCCCAGTGAGGGGCTGGGGTGTTTGCTCAGTGGTTGAGTCCCTGCCTAGAGTCCCCCAGTGAGGGGCTGGGGTGTGGCTCAGGAGAGGGCTCCTGTAGCTTGCACAAGTCCCATCTTCAGCACGAGGGGTAAAACAATGTCTTGCACTATAATGAGGGCCCTGCAGCTGCTGGTGTAGAATTTCTGGAGAGGCTGTAAAGGATCAGGTCCTCAGTCTGCAGGGATGGGCTTCAGGAGGAAGTCTTTTCATTCAGAGCGTTGCTCTTTGAACCCCTCAGGCTCAGCAGCACCCCTACCAGGTGGGCTGCCAGCATCCCATAGCTCCATACCTGTCCTCCGGGCCTTTGGGGTGACTGATGAGGGCTGCTCTGTGTGCTGCCACATCCATGGTTTTGCACCCTACTTCTACACCCCTGCACCTCCTGGTGAGTGTTCCTTCCCTGTGGACCTTGTCCCTGAACCCCAGAGCACTCCTGCTCCTCTGATGGGACTCCCACACCAGGTTTCAGGACTGAGCATCTGAATGACCTACAGCGGGAGTTGAATGGGGCCATCAGCCGGGACCAGCGGGGTGGGAAGGAGCTGTCCGGACCGGCGGTGCTGGCCATGGAGCTGTGTACTCGTGAGAGTGAGTGTTCTCTGAGGACCCTGGGTAGGCAGAGCCGGACCCTGGGGACCCTGGGGGGCAGGGCCAAGCCGATGCCAGCCTTCTCTCTGCAGGCATGTTCGGGTACCATGGGCATGGCCCGTCTCCATTCATCCGCATCACCCTGGCTCTTCCGCGCCTCATGGCTCCCACCCGCCGCCTCCTAGAACAGGGCATCCATGTGCCAGGCCTGGGCACCCCGAGTTTTGCACCCTATGAGGCCAACGTGGACTTCGAGATCCGGTGCTGCCCTGGCTCCCATGTACCCCTCTCCCAACCCCGTCCCCCCTAGGTGGCCTCCTAGCTGACCCTGCACTCCTTTAGGTTCATGGTAGATGCGAACATCGTGGGCTGCAACTGGCTGGAGCTCCCTGCTGGGAAGTACTTGCGGAGGGTGGAAAAGATGGTAAGGGTCTCCGCGGGGTCGGGGGCAGGGGTAGGGAGCCGGGACTCCTGGGGATGTGGCTCACACACCTCTCCCAGTGCACACCTCTCCCAGCACACACCTCTTCCACAGGCTACCCTGTGTCAGCTGGAGGTGGATGTGCTGTGGTCAGACGTGGTTAGTCACCCTCCAGAAGGACCATGGCAGCGCATCGCACCCCTGCGTGTGCTCAGCTTTGACATTGAGTGTGCCGGCCGCAAAGGTTGGTCCAGAGCCTGGCTCCTCCTCTTCTCTAGCCCTCAGTCGATGGGTGGGCAAAGCCCCCCCCAGATCTGCAACGGCCTTTTTGGTTTCAGGGTTGTCCCCCCCATGTGGCTGGAAGACAGTTGGGAGAGGGGGTGTGGGTGTGCAGTGCAGGCTGCGGACACAGAGTGAAGGTGGGTTTAGGATCTGGAGCTGCAGCTACCTGGAGGTTGAGGAAGAGCAGGAATGAGACCCTGGGTTTCCTCCGACCTCCTCCCTCCATAGGCATCTTCCCCGAACCCGAGCGGGACCCGGTGATTCAGATCTGCTCACTGGGCCTGCGCTGGGGCGAGCCCGAGCCCTTCCTGCGCCTGGCACTCACACTGAGGACATGCGCGCCCATTTTGGGAGCCAAAGTGCAGAGCTACGACCAGGAAGAGGACCTGCTCCAGGTGGCCCTCCACTTCAGCACTGGTCTAGCCCCCACACCCTCAGACCCTTGGTCTCCAGCTCCCACATCTCGGGCCACCTCTTCCCAGACCCTTGGTGACTGGGCTCCTGGTCCCCATGCCCCCTTGTCCCTGGTCCCCGTCCTAGCTGTGCTGACAGCCCTATGCATGCTGACACCGAATCACTGGGCTTGGGTGCTGTGCATTGAGGGCTCAGGTTTTTCTGGGTTCTGTGATATTTTCACAAGAACTAAGGGCTTCCTAACATTCTAGAAATTAGAGTACCTGAGGCAGGTGGGCACCTGGTGATCATCTGTGCCCCTGCTGCAGGCCTGGTCTAACTTTGTCCGTGCCATGGACCCTGATGTAATCACTGGCTACAACATCCAGAACTTCGACCTCCCGTACCTCATTTCTCGGGCACAGACACTCAAGGTGAGGCAGCTGGCAAGCCTCTGGGTCTGTCCCAGGCTGCCTTGTTGTGCTTTGTGCCTGTGGCCCTCATCTCAGGCCATCCTGTGCTGGCCCCTTACTTCCCTCTGACTAGACATAGAGGGGCATTGTGGTTAGGAGACAGGATATGCCTTGGGAGGTCCCACCCTCCACACATCGGGGGTATTCATCCGTTTCCTGGCAGGGCTCCGCTTTAGAATTGGCTGCAGGCATGAGGGCATCAAAGACGGGGCATTTGGTCAGTGGTGGCCAGGGCTGTGCTGTTGAGTGGGCACAGGTGGGCCTGGTCACTCGGCTGCTATAACAGCTGCGGACTCATTGGCTGCAGGCTCTGGGGATCTAGGTGTTGGATATGCTGTCTTCTGAGCCTGTCTCCCGCTCTTCTGCACTGGCCTCCAACCTCCTGCTTTCCCTCTGCTCAGCCCAGCCCAGGTCTGCTCTTCAAGGGCCCCACCCTGCTGCGTGCAGGCAGCTCTCACAGCCTTGTGAGGGTCTAGGCAAAGACCTGTTTGCAAATGGGGTCATGCAGGGAGACCCTGGAGATCAGGATCTTTAGGGACACAGTTCAGCCTCAAACAGGGTATGTTGTATCACTTTCCTAATGAACAGGTTGGGCAGGCAGAAAGGAGCTGCCCAACACTGGGCAGACGCCAGCTGCTGTGCTGTGCCCTCACTGCCAATCTGAGCCTGAAAGGGCCCTCTTGGCCTGGAGACACTCAGGGCTGCCCATGTGACCTGGTTGCATGATCAGCCCACACACAGATTCCCTTTGCTCCCCTCTGGGCCCAGTCTTTGTCTTCACCCATAGCTTACCAGGCCCCTGAGCTCAAGGCCCCCCAAGGCTGAAGCTCTCAACTCTGACCCTGGTCCATACCTCACCCCACCCCAGAGATCTCTGAGCCCTCAGCTGCCCTGCTTCAGTTCAGCCCCTGTGCAGCTACAAGGTTGCTGTGGTTGTCCCTTGTTCATTCAGTGTCCATGTGGCCAGGGCTGAATGGGCTGACCACCCTGCACCACAACAGTGTCCCACCCTCCCCGCTCCCCTCCCAGGTCGACCGCTTCCCTCTGCTGGGCCGAGTGACCGGCATCCGCTCCAACATCCGGGACTCCTCCTTCCAGTCCCGGCAGGTGGGCCGGCGGGACAGCAAGGTGGTCAGCATGGTGGGCCGCGTTCAGATGGACATGCTACAGGTACCTCCTTGGGAGGCTGTCACCAGCTCAAGCCCCTGGGCCCCACCTGACCCATCTGAGGTCACACCCTACCCCAAACACCTTGGGTTTGGGGCCCTGTCCCACCCACCTGAGACCCACTGGCTTATGGCCACGCCCATCCTGGAGTCACACCCTCCATCTGGCCCCACCCCTGCCCAGGTGCTGTTGCGGGAGTACAAGCTCCGGTCCTACACACTCAATGCTGTGAGCTTCCACTTTCTGGGCGAGCAAAAGGAGGATGTACAGCACAGCATCATCACTGACCTGCAGGTGTGGGGCCTGCTGCCGCCGGCCTTCTGTCCCCCGCCCGTCCTCGCCTGTCCTGCCTAGCCCTCACCCCTGACCCCAAGCCCGCACACCTGTCCCCAGAATGGGAACGAGCAGACGCGTCGCCGTCTGGCTGTGTACTGCCTGAAGGACGCCTTCCTGCCCCTGAGGCTGCTCGAGCGGCTCATGGTGCTGGTGAACAATGTGGAGATGGCACGTGTCACTGGCGTGCCCCTTGGATACCTGCTCACCCGAGGCCAGCAGGTCAAAGTCGTGTCCCAGCTGCTGCGCCAGGTTGGTGCCCGAGTTGGGTGCACACACTGGCCACACAGCACCAGGCACGGGGCATGGGACACTCACAGCCCTGCCTGCTGCCTGACACTGCATTCTCCCTCTCCAGGCCATGCACCAGGGGCTGCTGATGCCCGTGGTGAAGACGGAGGGTGGTGAGGACTATACGGGAGCCACTGTCATTGAGCCCCTCAAAGGGTGAGCCCCCACCTGGGATGGCGGGACACACCTGTTATCTCAGCACTCAGGAGTTCAAGGCCAACTGGGCTGTTTGAGACTGTAAATCCAGAAAAAAAAGTGGGGTTGGGGGTGTTGGGTTAGGGGTGCTGGGTGGGGTCCGAGTCCACTCCTCCCTCAGGTACTATGATGTCCCCATCGCCACCCTGGACTTCTCCTCTCTGTACCCATCCATCATGATGGCCCACAACCTGTGCTATACCACGCTCCTGCGGCCTGGGGCTGCCCAAAAGCTAGGGTATGCTGCCTTCATTCAGGAAGCCCCTGAATCACCCTGAGCCCTGGGTTCATAACTTGTGATCTAGTTGTGGGAGATAGACCAGGCCCAGGAATAGTGGACTGGATAAAGGGGAGGCAACAGAGACAGGCCTCAAGACAGGCTTCATGCCAAGGCCAGGACACAGGATAGGTGGGGCTGATGGAGAGGCTAGCCTGAGGAGGCTACAAGAAGGCAAGGCCTGGGGGAGGCTGGAGGTTGGGGAGAGGCCTGGGGGGTGCTGACCAGGAGTTGCTAGCCTGGGGGAGGCTGGGGAGAGGCCAGGTGCAGGGGCCAGGCAGCCCAGCAGCATCTCTCGCACCCCTCCTCCCCAGCCTGACCCCAGACGAGTTCATCAAGACACCTACTGGGGATGAGTTTGTAAAGTCGTCTGTGCGGAAGGGGCTGCTGCCCCAGATCCTGGAGAACCTGCTCAGTGCCCGGAAGAGGTGGGCTCTGGAGCCTGTGCCCTTGATGGGTGCTCAGTTTCCTTCAGGCAACCCAGCCCTGTTCTGTGCTGTGTGTGCATTAGCTCCCTGTTCCCCCACCCCCAGCCCCCAGCAGTGTCCATGCCTGGACACCTCCCTGAGATCTGTGGTGTACCCTGAGTAGCTGTCACCATGCCCCCACCCAGGGCCAAGGCAGAGCTGGCTCAGGAGACAGACCCCCTGCGACGGCAGGTCCTGGATGGCCGGCAACTGGCGCTGAAGGTGAGCGCCAACTCTGTATATGGCTTCACCGGTGCCCAGGTGGGCAAGCTGCCATGCCTGGAGATCTCCCAGGTGAGCCTTTGGGGCCCCAGCAGGAGGTGGGATTGCACATGGGCCCAGTGCTCTTGCTGTGGACCTGTGTTGGCAGGTGGGCTAGGTGCCCTAGTCCTGCTGTTTGGAGAGGCTGTGCTCTTGTGGCCATTTGTGTCAGGCCATGTTTGCTCCCAGGGCACAGAGGACAGATGGGTGCCTGTTCTTGGACTCCTTGCTCACAGCCTGTGGGGGTAAGGACTGGTAGCAAATGTTTAGGGTACAAGTGCTGCTGGGGCTCTGCCAGGGCTTATCTGAGGTGGGTGCTCAGGATGCTGGGTCACTGGACACACCCCTGCCCCAGCAGCCACCCCTCTACCCACCTCTTTTGTGTTCCAGGGAGGGTAGCAGGGCCAGCTCCTCTCGGAGCTGGGGCCACCCAGTGGCACAGCCAGACTGGATCCTCTGCTGAGCCACTTAGTGTTTGTTCTGTCAGCAGACTCCAGGTCTCCCTCCGCCCCTATGAGGATCCTGGTGTGGATGCCCTGCAGGAGCTTGGCCCCCACTAGCTGGGACAGGAGAAGGGAGGACTTCCATCTGGGTTCATACAGAAGCAAGTGTGCAGAGCACAGTGGGCCTGAGGCCAAGAGTGGGGTCCCTGCTGGCCTCTGCTGAGGTTGGGGAGGGTCTTCCTGTTCACCTGCCCCTGGGCTTTGGGTCCTAGCACTCTGTAGTGCTATGCACCCCACCTGGTTACCCCACCATGGGGCATTCCTTCCTACCCGGGCAGCCAGAATCTGACAACGTGGGGCTCAGGGCAGAAGGTGAATGAACTGTCAAGGGTTTGTAGGAAGGGCCTGTGCCCACCCCATCTCGCTGTCCCATCAAGTCCACTGACCGGCCAGAGGCTGAGCACTTGGTACCAGGATACCACAAAGGGCTACAGATTCAAACCCACCTTTGCTGAGCCAGGCACAGTGCTGCTGTCTTCAACCATTGCACTAGGGAGGGTGAGACAGGGCCACTCAGCTCCAAGCCAGCCTGGGCTGCCTTGACAACCTTGTACAGGGCAGAGTGGGAGAGACTGAGCAGGAGCTGCCCCCTCCCAGCCCAGTCACAACCTAGCACTTGGTGTTCTCACAGGGTGGGTCATGGGGACATGAAGGCCCAGTGGCTGACAGCAGTTACTGTTTACTCAGGCTCCAGCGCCCCGACCCCAGACTGAGTCTAACCAGCTATGCACAGCCGTGTGTGGCCCAGACTCTGGGGAACTCGCCTTGTGGGCATAGACCTTCTGCTGTGACTAAAGGGCTCTGAGCACCCTGCCAGGCAGGACATCCCAGGCTTAAGCAGGCCACTCCCAGGAGCCCTGGCACAGCCAGCCCCAGCCGGGAGGCTCCTGACTGCCTGCCATCCCTACTCCCCTTGGCCTGTCATCCCCAGCTGCTTCCCAGCATCCCACAGGGAAGGAATGACATTGGGCCCTCAGCCTGCAGGGCCCCTGATGATCCTGTCTCTTGGTCTGTCTCTTGTGGCCCCTGTGGTAGGGCAAACTACTGAGTCATTCCAGAAAAATAAGGACCACGGAGCAGATGATCAGGGAGAAAACGTGGCAGGTGCAGATTTGAGGTCAGATGTCCTAGTGACCACCAAGGGCCCAGTGGCTAAGGCAAGAGAATTGCTAGTGCAGGTCCTGTCTGGGCTACAGCCTGAGTTTAAGGCCAACAGGGCAACCTAGGGAGACCGTCTTGGATTTTTGTTTTTGTTTATTTTGTGTGAGTATTGTCCCTGCATTTGTGTTAAGTGCACCATGTGTGTGAAAAGACTGAAGGTATAGTTCAGCTGCTGTAGACCCCTGCCTAGAGTCCCCCAGTGAGGGACTGGGGTGTGGCTCAGTTGTAGGGGCCCTGTTTCCTGTGCAGGAGGCCCTGGGCCCCAGCCCTGTCTGGTGGGATGGAATGGTTTCATACACTTTTAATAAAGTCCTACTTTATTTTAAAAAATTATTTTATGTATATATAAGTGCACCCATGTGTGCAATGCCTGTGGAGGACAGAAGAGGGCGTTGGATCCCTGGAACTGGAGTTATGGACGGTTGATAGCTGCCATGTGGGTTCTGGGAACTGAACCTAGGTCCTCTGCAAGAGCAGCCAGTTAACTGCCTAGCCATCTCTCCAGCTCCTTGCTACACTTTGGAGCTGCAGTGGCCCATCCTGTAGACAGGAGACATACAGCCCGCACTGTTGGAAGTGACAGGGTGTCCTCCCCACCCTGCTCGTCCACCACGTGCAGCATCTGGGTCCTCAGTCTCCCTGGTTCCACCCAACAGAGTGTCACCGGGTTCGGGCGTCAGATGATTGAGAAAACCAAGCAGCTGGTGGAGACCAAGTACACCGTGGAGAATGGCTACAGCGCGGATGCCAAGGTCAGGCCCCGGCTGCCTGCTATCTGGGGCCCTTTGGCATCCTTCAGTGTCTGCTGGAGAAGAGACCCTCCTCTCGAATGTCCCTGCAGGTGGTCTATGGTGACACCGACTCTGTCATGTGCCGATTTGGTGTCTCCTCTGTGGCGGAAGCGATGTCCCTGGGGCGGGAGGCTGCAAACTGGGTGTCTAGTCACTTCCCGTCGCCCATCCGGCTGGAGTTTGAGAAGGTGGGTGTCCCCTGAGCTCAGAGCTCAGTGGAGACTGGGGGTCTTGCCAGTTGGAGGGTCTCATCCTCCAGTACCTGCAGAGGCTGACCATGCAGTGGTGGGGATCCCTGGGGTTTGGGAGACCGGAAGGACTCAAGCTCCCCCCACCCCCAATCTCTTCTTTCTGGGTTCTGAGAGCAATGGATCTGCACATTGGCAGATGACCCTGCTCCAGGGGCTAGGGCATGGCTCTACTATCCTCATCTGGCTTCCCTGGCACTCAGATATACACCCCTGGCTCAGCCAACCCTTGGCATCCTGGGGGCACCAGGTCGGACCCACTGTTCCTGTCTCCTCCCATGACCTTGAGACCTCGGCGTGTGCAGTCTTGATTCTGTGTTTTGGGGGCACCTCTAGGCTTACCCATGATGTCAGGTGGAGTCTTGGACCCACTCAGGGCTTACCAGATTGAGGTCTGCCACATCTGAGCCCTATGGCTGGGGGAACCTTCCTTGCCTGTCCTGTTTCTGGTAGGTCTCTGAACTGGGGACCAAGTCCCAAGTCTTAGGGTCACCACCGTGGTTCTCCCAGGTCTACTTCCCCTACCTGCTCATCAGCAAGAAACGCTATGCTGGCCTGCTCTTCTCTTCCCGGCCAGACACCCATGACCGAATGGACTGCAAGGGCCTGGAGGCTGTGCGCAGGGACAACTGTCCCCTCGTGGCCAACCTGGTCACCTCTTCCCTGCGCCGCATCCTTGTGGATCGGTGTGTGTGTCCCCACCTGGCCCAGGAAGCCAGTCTCCTCTCAGACCCAGGGGTCCAGACCCCATCCTCCTCCCTCAGACCCAGGGGTCCAGACCCCACCCTCCTCCCTCAGACCCAGGGGTCCAGACCCCAGCCCCCTCCATCAGACCCAGGGGTCCAGACCCCAGCCCCTCCCTCAGACCCAGGGGTCCAGACCGCAGCCTCCTCCCTCAGGCCCAGGGGTCCAGACCGCAGCCTCCTCCCTCAGGCCCAGGGGTCCAGACCCCAGACCCCTCCCTCAGACCCAGGCGTCCAGACCCCAGCCCCCTCTCTCAGACCCAGGGTTCCACACCCCAGCCTCCTCCCTCAGACCCAGGGATCCAGACCCCAGCCCCCTCCCTCAGACCCAGGAGTCTAAAACTTGCCCTCTTCCCTCAGACCCAGGGTTCCAGCTCCCTGCCCTCCCATCCCTGGGGAGCAGATATCTGTCCTGTCTTGGGTGGTGCAGCAGTTAGGTCCAGCTAGCAGCTGTGTGTCTGCCCACCCTGCTGAACTCTCAGCCCAGATGAAGCTTCTGGCTAGTGGCTTGCAGCCTGACCTGCAGCAGCCCCGGTGACACCCTTCTGTCTGGTCAGGGACCCCGATGGTGCAGTGGCCCATGCGAAGGATGTCATCTCAGACTTGTTATGCAACCGCATCGACATCTCGCAGCTGGTCATCACGAAGGAGCTGACCCGGGCTGCCGCTGACTATGCGGGCAAGCAGGCACATGTGGAGCTGGCAGAGAGGTGGGCGCCTATGGCTGCGCCCCTGCAGCTGGGCCACCGCAGCCCTCCCCCAACCTCACCCACCACCCTGTCCGCAGGATGAGGAAGCGCGACCCCGGCAGTGCGCCCAGCCTGGGTGACCGTGTTCCCTACGTGATCATAGGAGCTGCCAAGGGCGTGGCTGCGTATATGAAGTCCGAGGTTGGCCCACCTGGGCCGCACCCCCCTACTGTCTCACTTCTGCTTTCCGAGGGAGGGCCGGGCGTGCCCCTGGGAACCTGCACCCTGGCCTTGCAGCCAGCCAGTGGCCTCTGCCCTCCCTTCCCTGTGCCCCCCCCACCTCCCCACTCCTCTGCGCCCCACCTCCTCTGCTCCCTGCTGCAGCATCTCACAATCTGTCACCCTCAAACCACTAAGGGGACAGGAACCCAGTTCCCAGCCCTTTGACCCCTTACCCTGTCCTCCGCCCTATGTCTCTCATGGGGGCACTGCGACCTGAGGACCTGCTCCAGAGCCTGGGCTGCACCCCTGCCTGTCCCAGCCCACTCCCCCCCCCCGCCTACGCCCCGGGCCGCCTGGTGACCCCCACCCACCCGCAGGACCCCCTGTACGTGCTGGAGCACAGCCTGCCCATTGACACGCAGTACTACCTGGAGCAGCAGCTGGCCAAGCCACTGCTGCGCATCTTCGAGCCCATCCTGGGCGAGGGCCGCGCGGAGGCCGTGCTGCTGCGTATGCTGGGCAGGGGCCCGGACAGGAGAGGGAGGGTGGGGAGCAGGGAGCCCAGTTGCTCAGCCCTCCCCCCTGCAGGTGGCGATCACACGCGCTGTAAGACTGTGCTCACGGGCAAGGTTGGCGGCCTCCTGGCCTTTGCCAAGCGCCGCAACTGCTGCATCGGCTGCCGCTCAGTGATCAACCACCAGGGTGAGGCCCGCGTCTGCCTGGTGCCCAGGCCTGCCCCCAGCCGAGGGTCCTCCCTACCCCGGGCTTCCCCGGGGAGTTTTCTGCACACACTCGGGCCCTTGTTCTGTCCTGGGACTTTCAGAGGCCGGGATGGGCAGCGGGTGAGGTCAGGGTGGAGGCTGGCCTGGCTCGGTCCCAGCACCCTTGTGCTGACACCCCCACCCCAGGAGCCGTGTGCGAGTTCTGCAGATCGCGGGAGTCGGAGCTCTATCAGAAGGAGGTGAGGCGGGGAGGCTGGGTCCCCGGCGCCCCAAGTCCCCAGGTATCACGCCGAACCTGTCCCCAGGTGTCACACCCGAACCTGTCCCCAGGTGTCACACCTGAACGCCCTGGAGGAGCGCTTCTCGCGCCTCTGGACACAGTGTCAGCGCTGCCAGGGCAGCCTGCACGAGGACGTCATATGCACCAGGTACCCCCCCCCCCAGCTCCTGACCTAGCCTGTCTCCTGAGCCCCCTGACCCAGCCACAAGGTGGCCCAGTAGGCTGGATGGGCCTCCGCCCAGCCTCCCCCAGGGTGGGGCCGGGCTTTCCCCAGGGAACGGGCGGGCGGGGCGCGTTCCCACGGCAGGTGACAGGTGATATACGCCGGCCACCTCTCCGTGCACCGCTATTATCGGCTTCCCGGAGCCTGCTGAGCAAACAGCCCCCTCCCGGGGTGGGTGGGCGGCGGGCGGGGGCCAAAGTCCTGGGAACAGCCCCTGACTGCCCTCCGCAGCCGGGACTGCCCCATCTTCTACATGCGCAAGAAGGTGCGCAAGGACCTGGAGGACCAGGAGCGGCTGCTGCAGCGCTTCGGGCCGCCGGGCCCCGAGGCCTGGTGATGGGGTGGGGAATAAAGTTCAGTTTTTGCTACCTGGCGTGTGTGTGGTCTCGGGAAGAAGGTCGCCTTTCAGGGCTTAGGCCAGGCACAACCTCTGGGGCTCAGTGCCTCTGCCCATGCCCACGCAGGCCTGGCACCTCGGTTCCCTCTTGTCCCTGACTGGGACCCTTCTCGCTGTTCTCGGGCTTCCAGATGTCTGACCCTAGCCTGCCCCTCCCTGGGGACCACTGGTCACCCAGCTGACACCAGGTGCTGTGCTGGTCCTGCAGCCCCTGGGGCAGCCCCAGGCACACTGACTTCCACACCCCAGAGCTTCAAGGGAACACACATTCGCGCAAGCAAGCGCGTTGGGTCACATGCACAGGGTTTTCACATAGGGGGGTCCTGCTCGTCGCCCATCTGGGCCTACCCAACCATCGAGACCCTCTGACAATGCACACAGCTTCCCGAGACGCCAGCCTCCCCTGGTCACAGTGGCCCCTCCGTGGCACACTGCTTGCCAGCCCTGCAGCCCTCTAACTCCCTGCCCTTCCACAGCATCTCTCCACTCCTTAGAGGTAGCCTGCCATCCCCACCGCCCAACTGAGGGGATCCCCAAATCTGGATGGCCCCTAGGCCAGCCTGCCCTCCCTGTCACATGACCAGAGGGTTGTGCAATCCAGACCCCTCCCCGAGGGGATTTTTGAGGAGGGCCTGGCGCCCCGCCCCTGGAGGGGGAGGCTAGGCCAAGGTATATATAGGGGTGGTGGCCACAGCCAGCCCAGCCTGACCTGAACCACCATGCTTGCTTTGGAGGCTGCGCAGTAAGTGAGCACCCCCCAGATCTGTTCTTGGGACCCCCTCACCCCACTTGACCCCTCCCATGGGCTTCTGGCACACCCAAGGGCAGTTGGGGGACTGGGAGGGCTCCCCACCAGCTCCCTCCATCCTCCCAGCCCTGTCTCCTCAGACAGGCTCCTGGGTCTGTTGGTCCCAGATCACTGGCTGCTCCCCCATCCCATCCTGGTCCTCTCCCGACATGCTGGCTGTCCGCTTGCCCCATTTGTGGGGCCCCCAGCCCCTTGACTTTGGTCTCTCCAGTTCCTTGTCTCCTTGCAGCCTGGGCACTAGCTGTCCTGCCCCAGGTCGTTCCTGAACCCTCTTGCTCACCCCTGCCCATCACTACCTCCATGGCTGCCTCTGGTCCCAGCTGAACCCATTAAGACATTCCAACTCAGGCCCTTGGCCACTGTCCCCAGCTGCCTGGGGACTTTCTCCCTCACTTTCTCTGCCTCCCCCCAGTGTCTGTGTATGCAAATCCCAGGGGAGTGGGGAACATTTGCCTGGCACCCGCCCCCCACTTCCTGTCCCCGTGGGGTTGATCGTGGGAGGGCTGGGCGACTGCAGCGCTGCGGTGGGTGGTTACAGCTGCCTCGGTCTCCCCGGTGGGCCCCACAACCACGTTGAGAGTCAGGTGGCTGAGGGCAGCCCTGACATGCCCCTGTGTCTTTCCCCTGCCAGGTTGGATGGGCCACACTTCAGCTGTCTGGTGAGTCAGAGGCCCCCAATGGGGTAGTGGACCCCCCACATGGCCCACGGGTACTGACCTTACTCCTATTTCCCATTCCCTGCCTCAGTCTCCCCTTCCTGTTTCTTTGTCTTTCTCCCCAGACCCTTATTCCACCACAGACTGCTATGCTGATCTTTCAAACTTGAGACCACTTCCTGGAGGCGTCCATGTCCCTCAAACTGCATCTGTAGTTCCTTCTTCCTTCTCTTTGGGTTTTGTGTCTGATCTTTTATTGTCTCTATGACCTCCAACATAGGCGCCTCCTGCCTCAGCCTCCAGAACACTGGAACTACAGGTGTGAACCACCACACCTGGCTTGTTGGTTATTTAACATTAAGGTCTTGTGTGCACATTGATAAGTTTCTGCATTGTACACAAGCGTGTGGCCATTACTAGACCCAGATCTAGGACAATCCCATTGTTCTAGAATATTCCCTCACATCTCTCTCCAGGCAATCGCATCCCTAATGTTTTATAATATCAATTTATTTGACCTGAGTTTGAACTTTTTACTGTGTCTTGTGCAGGACGTACCTTTGGGCACCTGACTTCCTTTCCTCTAGGGTGTTGGGTATCTGTCTATTTCCCTTGATGCATGGTATTCCACCCACCAATTACACCCCACATTTTGTTTACCCCTCCTCTACCTGCTGACACACACCTGAGCGGCTTCTAATCGGGGTCTGAGCAGAGCTGCCTTGACCTTGTCTGTGCCACACGTTCCCAGTGTAGTGCACTTTAGCTCTGGTCTCCACTGGCCTGCAGGGGCTATAGTTAAAGCAACACAGATCCTTGGGATGAACCAAGTTGTTGGATTAACAAAGCTCATACAGGCCTGCCATCCGAGTACTCAGGCCACTGAGGCTGGAGGAGTGCTGCATGTTCTATGCCAGCCTGGGCTACACAGTGAGTTCCTGGGCACCATATTGGCAACTACTAGAGTTCCTAGGGGACACAGCCATGGCAAGAGCTGGGTACTGGGTGTCGCTTGTTCATGGAGTCTGTCTATCTGTCTCGGCCTCCTCAGCCTCTACCTCCTCTGTCCTCAGCCTCTACCCTGTCTGTATCAGAGTCTCCCTAAGGGTTGGTGGGGGGTGTCTAGGGCCCGAGATGACTGTGTTCTCACTACAGCAGTACCCAGAAGGTGTGTTCTATGACCTGGACAGCTATAAGCCCTTCAGCTACCCAGACTCAGAGGGGGGCCCTGGTAAGTGACCTCGGCCTGGCTTCCTCAAACCTTGGGCCTGGTTCACAGAGAGGGAGCTAAGGCCCTCTCTGAGGGAGTGGGGAGAAAACCCTCCCAGGCCACCTCTCCTCCCCCTCCCATCCATCTGCTCCCCTATGCAAATTCTGGGGTTGGAGATTTGAGTACTTACAAAGGCCCTTCTGTGCAGGACCAGGAGGGTGTGGGTCTACTATCCCACCTCATGCTTCTGATTCTAACCCTTCTCCCAGACCCCTCCTGGGGCTGGACAGAGGCCCCGCCTGTCCCTGGCGCCTCCTATGAAGCCTTCGATCCCGCTTCGGCCGCCTTTGCCCACTCTCAGGCCGTCCAGCTCTGCTATGGATCAGGTCCCGGACCCTCAGCCTACAGCCTTGTGGGGAGCCTTGATCCAGCCCCCAGCTTGGAGACCACAGGGCCAGGCCACCAGACATTCACCTCTGAAGACTTTGCCGGTCAGGTGAGGGGCCAGAGAGAATGCTGAATCCGCTCTGACCATTGGAGGGGAGTTCCCTAAGGGTCCAGGCACAGATATCACCCCTCATGTTCCTTCTGCAACCCTGCAAGACCCACACCCTTCTGAGGTCTCTCAGGTCTCCCCTTGGGCTCCCAGACCCTCGCTATCTGCTGACTGTGTGGTGTTGGGCAAGTGTCTCAACTGTGAGCCATGAACCAAGGCCAGTGTCCACACAGTGAGCAGACGGAACACTGGACAGCAAGGGCCCTGGAGGATGAACAGGGATGGGAGGGCAAGGGAGAGATGAGCAGGTGCCCCTGGCCTTTCGCAGACCCTGGGTCCCCTGGCTTACGCCCCGTACCCCAGTCCCGTGCTGTCGGAGGAGGAAGACCTTCTGCTGGACAGTCCTGCCCTGGAGGTCTCCGACAGTGAGACTGATGAGGCCCTCCTGGCTGGCCCCGAGGGGAGGAGATCAGAGGCAGGTATGTGGAGGTGGAGGCCTGGTGTGGACTGGAGGTGGGAGCAGAGGGCTGAAGGAGACAGGGCTTCCCTGAGTACTTACTAACCCCACAACTTCCATATCTATGCCACCTGCTGTGTGACCTCAGCCAAGGGCATCGACCTTTCTGCCTTGACTTCCATTGTGCACAAGGCAACTGACACAGTAATAGCAAAAGGAAGCCCCCTCCACCCTGAGCTGCTCACCCTATCCTTTTGCCCCTGTGGCTGACATCCTTTTAACCAACTGGGGTCTGTATTGGGCCACAGTTTCCATCTGTAAAACAGGTCTTCTTCCCTGCCTGCAGCCCCTCACTGGGGGACTCTAGGCAGGGGCTCCACCACTGAGCCACACCCCAGCCCCTCACTGGGGGACTCTAGGCAGGGGCTCTACCACTGAGCCACACCCCAGCCCTCTTTTGACTTGTTGAGACAGGGTCTTACTAGGTTTCCCAGGCTGCCCTTGAGTTTTCGATCCTTCTCCCTCAGCCGCCCCCAGTAGCTTATCCCAGCCCCTCACTGGGGGATTCTAGGCAGGGGCTCCACCACTGAGCCACACCCCAGCCCCTCACTGGGGGGATCCTAGGCAGGGGCTCTACCGCTGAGCCACACACCCCAGCCCCTCACTGGGGGATCCTAGGTAGGGGCTCTACCGCAGAGCCACACCCCAGCCCCTCACTGGGGGATCCTAGGCAGGGGCTCTACCGCTGAGCCACACCCCAGCCCCCACCCCCACCCCCGCACTTTAATCACTCAGCCCCAGCCCTCTTTACTTTTTATTTGGAGATAGGGTCTAGGTTTCCCAGGCTGATCTCGAACTCACTCAGCAGCCCAGCCTTCCTTGGAGATCTTGTGATCCTCCTGCCTGAGCCTCCGTAGTATATACTGGGACGACAGGTGGTGAAAATTAGAGTGGAGTAGGAGGCTTACAGCCCTGGGGGTCCCTAGAGACATCCGTCCTTACCCGGGTCCCCACACCCCGCAGGTGCCCGCAAGAAGCTGCGCCTGTACCAGTTCCTCCTGGGGCTGCTGACGCGAGGGGATATGCGCGAGTGCGTCTGGTGGGTGGAGCCAGGAGCCGGCGTCTTCCAGTTCTCCTCCAAGCACAAGGAACTGCTGGCTCGCCGCTGGGGCCAGCAGAAGGGCAACCGCAAACGCATGACGTACCAGAAGCTGGCGCGAGCGCTGCGCAACTACGCCAAGACCGGGGAGATTCGCAAAGTCAAGCGCAAGCTCACCTACCAGTTCGACAGTGCGCTGCTGCCGGCAGTGCGCCGCGTCTGAGTGCAGGGGCAGTGGGGCTCTGCGCCCCGGCTGGGGGAGCCGCCTGAGGGCCTCGCCGTCCAGCCGAGATCCCTCTGACATCCCCATACCCTAAGTCAGTACCCACGGAGTCCCACATTTGGAGGAGTGGACTGTCGAGTCCCTCAACTCTTACCAGGGCCTTTCCAGGGTCCCCCAGGCGTGTCTCGGGATCCCATGCCAGGCCATTCTACTGTGTGTTGGGTGATGGTGTTTTCAGAATGGCAAAAGCTTCTTGGGGGCGGGGTGTCCCCTGGTGGTATCTGAGGTTCCCCCTATCCGCACAGACTCCTCATCCTCCAGCAGGTGGTGCCGTCTGCAGCCCCAGCCCCGTGTGTATGGGGGGTGTCCCTCGGTGCACCCCTGAGGTCCTTGTCAGACCTGGATTTCCTAGCTACATCTGGGGCCCTCTGAGCACCCTGAAGCATCTGTGACTTTGAGACAGGGTCTCGCTAAGTAGCCCTGGCTGGCCTGGAACTTGCTATGTAGCCCAGGCTTGCCTTGAATTCACTATGTAACTGTGCATAGCCTTGACTCCTGATCCTCCTGCATCGGCCTCTTGAGTGCTGGGATTATAGGTGTGTGTCACCATGCCCTCTCCTTGTGACTTCTTAAATCAGAGTCTCTATATGTAGCCTATATGTAGCTGGCTTCAAACTCATAGCAATCCTCCTGCCTCAGCCTTATGAGAGCTGGATTACATGAGTGTGCCACTACACCCCCCCTTTTAAGTCAAGGTCTCCGTATATAGCTCAGGCTAGCCTCAAACACATGGAGATCCTCCTGCCTCAGCTTCCTGACTGTACTGGGATTACAGGGATGTACTATCACACCCAGTTTCTTTTTCCTGTTTTTTTTTTTTTTTTTTTTTAATATTTTTATGGAGACAGAATCTCACCATGTAGCCCTGGCTGGTCTGGAACTCACTATGTAAACTGGGCTGGCCTTGAATTCATAGAAATCCATCTGCCTCTTCCTTCTGAGTGCTGGGATTAAATTTGTGCACTATCATGCCCTGGTTTCTCCTTCCTTTTTAGAGATAAGGTCTCCTTTGGTACACAGACCCTGCCCCCATCCTCTGGAGTGCTAGGATTGCAAGCGTGCCACTATCACGCCCTGGTTTCTCCTTCCTTTTTAGAGATAAGATCTCCTTTGGTACACAGACCCTGCCCCCATCCTCTGGAGTGCTAGGATGGCAAGTGTGCCACTACGCCTGGCTACAACCTCCCTCCACCAGACTTCTAAAGCCAGCCCCCACCCCGCCCCCACCCAAGCAAATTAAGTTTCTGCAGGTGCTTTCTACAGTTAGCCACAACATTTTGAGGAGAAAAACATGAATTAACAGCCATTTTTCAAACTATAAAGCTTTCACACAATCCAGATTTCTGAATTTAAAACTTTAGAAAACCGGCTGATTGCCAGCCAGCTTTTCGGTGTGCAGAGGCTTGGGCAGGGACATCATCTGTTCTGTCTTCTGCCCCAGACCCTGCCCTACATCTGCCTGTCTCGTGGCCCAGTGGCCTCTCTCAGTTGCCAGTTGATGCCCAGTTATCTGTGTTTCCTGGATAAATCCAGCTGCAGGCAAAACTGGTACAAGCTGGTGTTCTGGCTGGACTTCCAGAAGGAATTGGAGCCCAGAACGTTTGAGCCTGCATTGGCTGGGCCACCCAGGCCTCCGTCCCTCTGAGAAAGCGAAGAGGCCTTAAAAACCCTTTGCAGCCCCCTTGAGCCTGTGACTCACTTAAAATCCACCTCCATGGATTATGAGAACCCAGAGGTCCATGTGGCTGAGCCTAGTCTGGGCCCTGCCCTTCACAGAACTTGGGAAGGTCCAAAGTGTAAAAAGCCCCCCCCCCCCACTTCTACAAAGATTTTCCAAACGCTGGCATCATCACCCTACATGCAGAATAAAATAAAATAAAATAAAATAAAACCACAAGTCAAGGTTATAGGTGTCCTGGGACCCTCTATCAGGGACTGCAGCCTGCTTCCTCCCACCCCGCAGCCGCCACCTCCTGGGCTGCCTGGTTGGAAAACTGAGGTAGCTTAGAGGTAGAAGAAGCCCAAGTGCACTGGTGTGGTGGACATCCTGGCAGAGCCAAAAATCAGGATGTAGAGAGGCAGCATCTGGCCTAGCTGACTCCGGGTCTCTCTGGCATCCTGGCGCCTTCAGATTTTCCTTTCTGTGTAACTCTCCATCCCACTCCGTTCTAGATTCTTTTATTGTTTGTGTTTGAAGATAGGGTCCTTCAGTGTAGCCCAGATTGGCCTCAAAGTTGCAGCAATCCCCCTGCCCCAGCTCAGCCTCTGACAAGCTGGCTGGGATGACAGAGGCAGGAAAGGATATGGAGGTCTGCCTGGATAGCGTCACTGGAGGCTGCCTACTACTGGTCGGCTTAATGCTTCCAGGAGGCGGGCAAGTTTCCGGCTCTTAGGGGATTTCGGAAAGTTGATCTTTAGGAAAAGGGAGGCTCCCCTGGGCCCCTCTCCCAGCTCCTTACCCTCTGGCTGTCCTGGACCAGGCATACCCGGTGTCCCCGTCCCCACCCCTCCATCCCCATCTCCCATTCCCCCCACGTCCTCTAATCCTTGGTCCTGACCCTCCATCCCTCCCCTTGCATCCCCTCCCCAGAGCAGAAAGCCTCTGGCCCGGGTGCTGGGAAGGGTGCCTGGGCATCCTTCCAGGGCCTTCCCAGCCTCCCCCAGCCAGGCCAGGGACAGCTCTCCCTGGCCCCAGGTGGCCAGGGACGGAGGGAGGGACACTGAGACTGCCTCCCCTGGGAAGACACCAGTCCTGCTTACACAGAGAAACCGGACTCTCCCTTCAAGCTCCAGTTTCCAGAAAAATCCTGACTCACACATGCTAAGAATGGCTTCCTGAGCCTGTGGCTCCAGCCCTTTGCCCCACACACCTAAGACCCCAACCCTCAGTCTCCCCAGGACCCAGGCACCCCCACCTCCTCCTCCTCCCCCCACGCTCAGAACCTAAGTGCCCCATCCTCTCTTCCTCCTCCTCCTCCTTCCTTTCCCCCCAGGACCCAGGTACCCCTTCCCTCCCTTTTTCCCTCCCTCCCTCCCCTCCTCCTCCTCCTCCCTCTCCTTATCTTCCTCCTCCTCCTCCCTTCTCCCC